CTTTGTGCGGGCCCTCCAATTGAGGCGCGTATTCGCACTTGAATTTGGTCGGGTCCTCATCGTTCTGTCGCACACGTATGGGCACAGAACTGGACTTTCCCTTCGGGTCAATCACCTGAACGTCCACTTGACCCACACCGGCCTCTGCAGCGAATGTAAGCGATTAATTATTTGATTAAAAACACATAATATGCATACCTTTAGTGTCGATGTCAAAAGTGGTAGGAGTGCCCACTTTAAGACCCGTGGGCCTAATGCCGGGGCCGTCGCACTTCACTTTAGATGCATCTCCAGCCACACCCTTCACCTCCACATCGAAGGGAGACTTCGGCACTTCAACGCCCGAAAACTTGACAATAACCTTAATATCACAACAAATACTGTATTAAATGTATGCAACCCTTTAGACTTAATTCATTACTTACTTTGTGAGGGCCCTCCAGTTTGGCCGTATAAGAACAGGTGTAGGTCTTCCCGGGATCGTCGTTGGCCTTGACCTCAACGGGTGTCTGTTTGCCCGACGGGTCCTGAAGAAACACCTGGACGTCTCCCTGACCGGCGCTGAACGTGTCGACAGTGAAACTAGTCTTAGCGCCCATATTGACGCCCGTCGGCTGAACTCCCGGTCCGTAACAGCGGACACGTTTCGGGTTATGTCGGGGCCGAGTGGGCGCGTTGTCCTTGAGTTTGGCTTTGGGAAATTGTGCCAAATATGTCATCATTGACAGCTCGTCCACCTTAGGATTGGTCATCTCTTCGGGCGCCACCAGTTGTGCCACTGATAAAAACTGTTCAGCGATTTTCATGGCTTCGGTGGCGTTCTTGAGGCGGTCCTCCGGTTTCCATCGCTCCCAATCGGGACAGAGTCCGGGAGCGCACGCGTCCACTAAAGCGCCGATCGCTCGGCCGTCGTTCCAGTCGGTGGAGAAGTTGTTAATCGGCACGTCTGGTCCGGCCTTGTTCTGGATCCACTTCAAGAGCCGTTGTTTGGGTGTTGGGCCGCCCTTCTCCTTGTACATGGACTCGTCCTCTCCCTCCCACATCGGCATCGATATGGAGTAATGCAATACCAGTGTCCACATCACACCGCATATTAACTTCACCTTCCCGTCCACGATATCGATACTATCTGTTTGGCCATCGATTGGCAAATCAATAGATATTGGTTCAGTTGTATCGCTTTTGGCATTTTCAGTGATTATACTACTTGTGTTCATTTAGTGAACAACATTATTATCATGTCTGTGGGTGTGAATTAGTTTATCTCTCACAAGTCAGTTATGTCTTTGTTTGGTTATAATTAAAACGTTAATTTTGATGCATTTCTTAAAATATTTTAGTTTGTAGTCTTATATTCAGTGATTTTTTGTTATACAAATAAAGTATTTTTATGTTTTCAAAACTGATTTATAATTTTTGAGTATTTTTCTTGGCGTCGATTCTCTGTTTTTATTTGTATTTAGTTTTTGACTTTAAAAATATATTAATTAAAATTTTTCTTCTTATTAATGATTTTTTTTATTACATTTGGGTTTTGCTATAAATGCCAGATATTAACCAATACTTTAAACTAAAATTATTTTCTAACTAAATTTTCTAATTTTAGACTAAATAAATTTTAAGTTATAGTTAAATGATTTAATTATTATAACTGTATTTTTGATAATTTAAAGATTTGATCATTTTAAATCTAGAACTCAATTGTTTTCAAATTAATTATATCAATATTTAAAGTTTTGTCTCAAAGATGTACTAAAACTTCAAAGTGTTTACAAACATAATTAAAACTACAATTAACTTATTTCTATTAATATGAATATAACAATAAAATATATGTTATGTTATAAATAATAAATGAAAAGTCGTTGTAAAACGGTTTTAATTATAAAACAAAAAATGCTAAACATTTCAGATTGTCGTTACGACTAGTGTTACGCCAAATGTTTGTTTATACAAAACTTATAGACAATTATATCGTAGAAAATACCATAAAATGAAAAAGTTATACAACAATCCTATAATAAAAACTACTTTCTATACTTAAGTTTCCAAAAATGTCATTTTGTTTAAAATTAATGGTTTTTGTTTTTTGCATTCAAACGTTTACCGCATATATTTGACACAAATATTTATAAATGTAAAAGTTTTAGTTGGAAATATTTTTTGTCCATCATTTAGAAAATGGTTTTAAATATCAGTGGATTATATAATATGAATCACAAATGCTTTTTTGTTATTATTATAAATAGATATTTCTATTATAAGTATAGTTATAGATAAATTATTTATATTATTTAGAAAATTATTTTTGATTTAAAATACTAATTGCTTATAAAATATACTATTTATGTATATTATATTTTTGAAATTTTTATCCAAACAAAATCGTCATTTCCTTACATTTACTTTTATTAAATTCAGTGAATATAAAAGTTTTAGATCATTATTTTTTATAACAAAAATACATTTCAATAATTATAGTGAATTTATTTGGGAAACTGTGCTTAAGTCATACATATTATCAATAATACCAACAAATGTAATAAAGGATTCAATCATA